CTTTTAGTTTGTCATGATGAACAGTGTTATTTCTGAAGTGCGAACTTACAGCACTGTGATTTAAGGGTCTGTTTTATTTATTGTCTATTATCTGAAGCAAGTTCAGTATTGAGTACTTGTATTGCTCAGAAAATTGTTCTTACTGTTTTTATTAAGTTAATCTATGCACTTTTTAAGGACCTGATGTTCTATTTTATTTTTATTTTGTAATTCTTTGGAGATTTACAACTCCATGCAACTGCTACCCTCTTGCAAAAGCACTTGCTTTTTCTGATCAGTGACAAATGTGAGATGTCGCGCAAGAGGATAGAGACTTCATCACTGTGGGTGAGATGGCAGTGTATAAAACAGTTTCTGCTGTCTCAATCAGTGATGAGACAAAAGTTCTACCTGTTGCATTCTTTGCTTTATCTCTTCCTGTTGCCTCTCACCTGTGTTACTGGGTGAGGTGGGAGAAATAATCAAGTGAATCGTGATGTAGATGTAAATGTTTCTGAATAGAGATCAATTGATGAACAAAACTACGTTTCAGGAATAGATCACACTGGTGAAACTGAAGTTGACTGGCGGTGCTGTGCGACACACCATTTGTAGTAATCGGGGACCCTTCATCCAATTTGTAAAGTTCCTGGTGCACTGAGCTCTGGTTGAAGAGGTCATTCTAACCGAACTCAAACTTTATTACAGATTGTCATTTTGGGGAATGAGAGAACACTTTGTACTTTGGTAGAAGTCGTCCTGAGCATACTGTAGGTACTACAAAATTGGAACCGATGTGCAGTTGTTTGTTTTTCATGCTTATAACTTTTTCATGCCCGTTTGTTTTTCCTGCTTAATACTTTTTCATGCCCCGTAAAATTCCTGACTTAATTTGGATGGTCTTTTTTCATCAGGTGCCAAGAACCTTTACATCATCTCCGTGAAGGGTATCAAAGGCCGTCTTAACCGTCTGCCTGCTGCTGGAGTGGGTGACATGGTGATGGCAACAGTCAAGAAAGGCAAGCCTGAGCTCAGAAAGAAGGGTGAGAAACATTAAGGTTGTCTTACTATACAAACATTTTAACTTTAAACTGCTGACAGATCGCGCGCATGCGCACAAAAAGAAATGTAACCTATTACAGAGTAACAACTCTCAAACTTTGTGAATTACTTGGATTTAGTCATTTATTTATTTTTTGCTTGCTTGTTTTGAAACATACTAAGTAATCTCCCCTCTCCATAGTGCATCCGGCGGTCGTGATCAGGCAGCGGAAGTCCTATCGGCGAAAAGATGGAGTCTTTCTCTACTTTGAGGACAATGCAGGTGTCATTGTAAATAATAAAGGGGAAATGAAAGGTGGGTTATATTTTTGGTTATTCCATAAAAATTGAATTTCGATGTGAAAAGTAGTAATGGACCCATTATGCCAATATTTGGCATTTTGGAGGTTATCGGTGTCTGGGTTTTTTTTTTTTTTTAAATCCAATGGCCAATATACACTGAATTAAAAACAGTTATTTTGGCTCTGATAGCCACAGCCCCTGTCTGCTGAGTCCGTGGCTGTGACTCGCTCCGGCATTGGCCTGCCCACAGACAGTCGTGTTGATGAGATATTTATTTCTCTGCTGGCCAGTGCCTGTGTTGAGGGTGCACTTTTTTTGTTTTTGAACAAAGATACATAGCGATACGTAAAAGATAAACATTTCGTTACTGTATATTGTTGACTTTTTGGAAAACTACTACTGTAGTAAACTTTGAGGAGATATTTGCACTTTAGTTGGGATTTTAAAACAAAGATGTCCAGTTTCTAAAGTCTAAAAAAAAAAACTTCAAACATGTTACCAATCAAAATGGCATTTATTAAACGGGCTTAAAACACATTTTAACAGTCAAGAGCTGCAGTTTTTATGATTAAAAAATTGACTCAAATTTGTTTCGTTTTTTCTGCATCTGAATATCAGCTTCAAATATCGGTTAGTGGCCTCCATGACAACAAATATTCGATATTCGCCCTGAAAAAAAAACCCATACCAGTCTCACTAGTAAAAGGCAGTCTCTCTAGGCTTACATGCAACTGCTACCCTCTTGCAAAAGCACTTGCTTTGTCTGAACAGTGACAAGTGTGAGATGTCGCGCAAGAGGATAGAGACTTCATCACTGTGGGTGAGATGGCAGTGTATAAAACAGTTTCTGCTGTCTCAATCAGCGATGAGACAAAAGTTCTACCTGTTGCATTCTTTGCTTTCTCTTCCTGTTGCCTCTCCACCTGTGTTACTGGGTGAGGTGGGAGAAATAATCAAGCGAATCGTGATGCAGATGTAAATTTCTGAATAGAGATCAATTGCTGAACAAAACTATGTTTCAGTAATAGATCACACTGGTGAAACTGAAGTTGACTGACAGTGCTGTGTGATACACTATTTGTGGTAATACAGACATCACATGTAGTAAAATGCAATTTTATAATTACAAAAAAATATTAGGGAGAGTGAGAGGGTGAAAAATGACAGTAACCATAAGATCAAGCTAGTTAAATCTGTCTGTGTCTCTCTTTCTCTCACACACACACACACACACCATCACTTGCCCCCTGCAGTCGATTCAAATGTGTAAAAACCGTGTCTCACATAGTAGCAACAAAGCTGTCACATCTACCCATAAATCAGTTCTTTTAATATGTCCCTTTTGTATCCATCCATGTGACTTCTCATGTCAAACGAGATCTCGTCACCATGTGAGAGTAGGCTATCAAAACAACGTGACGAAGCACTGGTATCAGTGGCAACACGTTTGAAGGCAGATGTTTGGAAGTTGGATTTGATAAATCCGTTTTGACCAGGTCATATTCAATAAAACATACGTGATTGGTGGGTTCAAGTTCTTAATGTAAATATATTTTTACTAATGCACCAACTTGGAGCAAGAAATTTCGATTTGCAGCATTACTTCTTCTGAGAAAATTTGAAAGTTGTGAATTCTTTTCTTGTTTTTATGCCCTCAGGATCTGCTATTACTGGCCCAGTCGCCAAGGAGTGTGCTGATCTTTGGCCCAGGATTGCATCAAATGCTGGCAGCATTGCCTGAGCCTTTTGTCACCCTTGATTGATTTTTCAATTAAAAAAACTGTTGGAGCCTTCTTTGTCATCATTTAGAATCGGTTCGGCATAAACAACAGAAGCCGTTATAGAAACGCCAGGACTTTTGATTGTACCTGGTAAAGTTTGGTTGGGTATTCAAAGACTGGTGTCCCCAAACATAGTTTGACCTGTTAACTTTTTATCAATTTGGAAATGAGCATTCATTGCCAAAACTAAAAATTGAAAATGAGGAAACCAAGGCCGAAAACACGGGAAGAAAATATAACATAAAAACTAAAATATTACCTTTGCTGAATATTTTCTGCACTTGTCGAACTTGTTTTAAGGATATGTTCGTTCGTACTGCAGGTCAATTCTGATATTTTCACCCAATGCATAATGTATCTGACAATTAAAACATTTTTCCCTCCGTGTCGATGTGTACAGTGCAGCTCTTTTTTTTTTTAATGATCTGATTCAGGCCTCTTAAATATGTGGATATGAGTTACATAATTACGATTAAATATTCGATGTCGCCTTTTAACTTTTACGACCCGGACTTGTAGTATCAAAAGGTATCAATGGGGGCGCTAATGGCCTTTCACCCTGCATTCTGTATTGCCAGAGTGTGCATTATGAACACCCTTTTTCTTTTCGGGTACCGGTACATTTAAAGTGTTACGGTTCCGGAATGATCATGAACGGAAAGCAGACTTGGACAAGCTCGACTACAAAAAATAATTTTATTAAAGAACGCCAGGTTAATAGATGTCAATGACTTTATTTCTCATCTTCTTGAATTTCTTTGGATCAAGCTTCGGTGTGTTCAGTGAAAATTAACTGAAAAAAATGTCATTAGTCACAGGAAATCATGATTTCACAAGAGGTCCAAATACTTTTTCACGCAGGGCTAGCTTTAGCTTGGAATACATATTTTCTTCATAAATATAATCATTTTAAAACGGCATTTTATGTTTACTTAGGTTATCTTTGGTCTTTAAATTCGCTCGATAATTTTGAACACTAATGTGGGAAAACTGCAGAAACAAAATTTCGAAGGGAGCAAACATTTTTTCAGGGCAATTTATTTGGTGTGACTGAGGAACATTGTATGACTTGTTTTACAACTTGCTTGAACCAAGTCATGGCTCAACTCAACTTGTTTGATATTTGGTAGCGATTCGATTCGACTGTTTTTTTTAATTTTTTTTTTGCTCACCGTAACTCGGGACTTGTTGAGACTCGAAGGTTATGACTTCAGACTTAATTGTGATTTGCGCATATGACTTAATCTCACTTCAGCTATTGTGATGTCTTACCATTTTGCTTGAAGCGGGGATGCCCAACTTTTTTGACCGAAAATCTACTTTTCGCGTGCATATGCACGCACGTCTTGATGAGCAACCCCAGCAATGGCTCCTCACATGAACTAAACAGAAAAATAAAGTCCTATAAATAAAGAGTTGGTGAGTTTGTGAAAAGGAAATCACTGCCTACCTTAGTAGAGGCGTGACGCGGAGGCATCGGATGGATGCACTTTTGCAGCGTTTGAAGTGTAGAAACTATTGTACGTACGTGTAACGTTTTAAAATGCTTCTCCTGGCACTCCAGATTCCTATTCTTTGCCAGCGCCATCGGTGAATTGCAAAAACTTTGAAAGAGAAGAAGTGTAAAAAAGACGTCAACTTTGAAAGAAAAGAATAATCAAAAAGACGTACCGGTAATGCAACAGCTTGATCACAAGCCGCAATTGCAGACTGCTGCCCGCGAACAACTTAAAGGTTAAAGGTGACCTGCTTTTTTGAAATACATTTTGTGAAAGTGAAACTGATATGATGCTTATGGTCCAGTGTGCACTCACTCAAAAATACGTATTCATAGCACGCACACACATTTTTATTCCATTTTCCTGGAATCTACACCTCGCAATCGACTTGGGACCAGTCCGCAAGCTGCAGGTCGATCGCGACTGGTTGGGCACCCCTGTCTTAAAAATTATAACAATAGCAAACACTACTCTGATGGTTTACCTGTATGCAGCTCACAAACCCAAATGTGATTATTTCCATGTTATCTGGGATATTTCTCATCATGCTGTTTGATTTTACCCAGCATGATTGTGTACAATTAACTACTTTCTATCTTTGACTTTCTCATAATTCAATTTTTCATCGCATTTTCTTTCATGGCAACAGGAACATTCTACCCAAGGGTTGGTTAGCTTGCGTAAATGTGTGATAAAAATATATGACTCCGAAAATATTTTCCCAAAACTTGCAATTGCAATTTTGAGAATCATAGCTGTTGGATTAAAAAGAAGAAAAGTCATGCAGATATACTTGTACAATTCAATACCCAATGACCAGATGTGCTTCACAGTTTAGAAAGCGTATTTGTTCCCAAGATTCAAGTTTGAAGTCACAGTTTTAATTTCTTGTTGGAAAAAAAATGCCTTAAGGTACTTCAATAATGACCACTAAAATCGCCATGGTTTTCCATATCTGTGTGACTTCACCCTCATGAAGCGATTCACAACCAGTTCTCTGTTTTCTGGGAGTCTCGTGTCCATGGTGTAGTCAATGTGATGTCTTTCTTTTTCGTGGTCATACTTTAATTACAAAAAGGTCAGGAGTTTTTTTTCTTCCTTTTCATATGCTCTCTTATTCTTAATAGGCATCTCTTCCCCTTTTCCTATACCTCACCCAAAACATTTCTTATCAATGAATCCCTTATTCGAAGCTCTCAAGGGCTATCCGAAATGTCCCCCTTCATACTATACAGTAACTCCGCCCCTCTCTTATTCTTAATATGCATCTCTTCCCCTTTTCCTATACCTCACCCCAAAACATTTCTTATCAATGAATCCCTTATTCAAAGCTCCCAAGGGCTATCTGAAATGTCCCCCTTCATACTATACAGTAACTCCGCCTCACCTCCTTTCCATCTTCAAACTTTCCACCATTTCTTTATTTGGGATTTTGGTGAGGTGTAGGGTGCGACGCTCTCCGGTATGATGTGGTGGTGGCTGTTTCCTGTATTGAGCGCTATTTTGTTTGTCGTGCTTTTCATCATATACTTGACCATTTGCCAACGCTACAAGGTTTTTAGTGAGGCGTACCTTAGGCCTCCGGGACCCTTGGTTAACGATGACCGAAAGAGGGATGACAGGCTCAAGAAAGGTAACATTATGATATTTGCAGATTAAATAATCAATCTTCCTCATTGTCTGCTCTTTTAATGTCTATTTAATCTACAAATATGAGTTTTGTAACATTATTCAATTATTATTATAATTACTGTTATTAACAATTACTGATAATTGTTCCTTACTCCCATAAACCTTGCAGGGCATTTTATATCTGACAGGATCTCGCGATTTCAAATCCATTGAAATGATGACAACTACATATTTACATTGAAAAATGGATCTTGTATGAATAGAACTTGACTTGACCAAGTGTTTTCTGGGAATAATCATTCATTTAAGAAGATGTTTAGAAAACAGCTTCCTGCTTGATCCTGCCTATAAGAGCTTTATATAAAGTAGACGCCAACAAAATTGGGAAAACAAGTGAAAATCCCAAATGTATTTGTGGATCTGAAAAAAAACACGTGAAAATCATGGATATATCTGTATGGGTAAGTTTGACAAATCTTTCCCCATAGTACCCCACTTCCTGCCCTAAGTCAGTAAGTCCAGCTCACCCGCGATGCTTACGGGGACAAGCCGTATTGAAAAAAAAATGAATGGACAGAATATGGAAATGAACTAAAATCTGTTGTTTCACCCATTACAACTTGAAAAGTCATGATTAAAATATATATATATATATTATTCTGACAGAATACTTCTACCATATAATTATCCCTCCATCCATTTTCGGATCCGGTTTATCCTCACAAGTGTCGCGGGGGGTTCTGGAGCCTTTCGTAGCCATCTTCGGGCAGTAGACGGGGGACACCCTGAACCGGTTGCAAGCCGATCGTAGGGCACACACAGGCTGCCCTCTAATACATCAAATATAATAATTTTGCCGACCCCCAATATAACTAAATTGTACCAGCGCACTTCTAAGAATGGGTACTACCGACACAAAACACATTCAAATTGGCAAGCCTGCCATAGTATGACATTGTAATCATAAAAAAATAGACTCAAAAAATGTATGTCCTGGAACCATTTTATCATATTTTCACCTGTAAACCCGACAGGATTCCGTGTGGATCGGGTTCCCAATGCTCTGGATGCTGTGGTTATTGGCAGCGGTATCGGGGGTTTGACAGCTGCGGCTCTCTTGTCCAAGGCTGGAAAGAGAGTTCTTGTTTTGGAGCAGCACGATCAGGCTGGTGGCTGCACTCATACCTTTCAAAATAAGGGCTTTGAGTTTGATGTGGGTAAGTCAATTCCTCTATGAGTTTTTTCTTCTTCTTTCGTTTCCAACTCCCAACGTGCTTCAAGAAATTGTACATATACAGTAGTAATATACTGTATACGAGGGCCAACCAATAAATAAGGTTGATTTTTAGGCACAAGGACTTCAAATACAGATAGAAGATAACTTTTTTTTTTCAACGTAGTCTCCCAGCACCGTCACACACTATTCCCATCTGACAGATGGAAACTTCTGCACAGATGGCATCTGTGCAGAAGTTTCCATGTTCCATCAGCGTCAAAATCTTTGGATCCATGTCTCACCCAGTCGCTCACAACACTTTTGAATTCATCATCACTTTCTTACTTCGTGCCTCTTCTGAACGAGAGCGAGCGAGAGAGAGAGAGAGAGAGAGAGAGAGAGAGAGAGAGAGAGAGAGAGAGAGAGAGAGCAAGTGATTCTGATTCTCATCGTAAACGGCCATGTCAACTAGCTTGGACGAACTTGACAATTGTGGCAGTCGACTTACTTTCGCCTTAATGAATGCTGCATTCAAGAAAAGTGGAAAGTCGGCCTTTTCCAATTTCCGCCATCCGACGAGGAAAAGTGCACTTTAAAGCCCCTGCAGGTGGTCTATTGCAGTGTTTTTGAAACGTTTTTTAGCTAAGGCACACTTCTTTCATTTGAAAAAATCTCGCGGCACCCCACGAGCTGAAAATGTGAGAAAAAACCCCGCTTATTTTAACAAATAACGAGTTATATTGTTACCATAACTGTTTTTAACATTGAAGAATGACGTTATAACAGTTTGAATTGGAATCAAATGAACACAAAGAAAAACGTATTTTATAATCTTTCATATTTATTGTTTCACTGTCGTCCTGCATTCATGCGCACAAATTCGCTTGTCTCTCGTGGTCGAAACACAAGGCAATTGACTAGCTGTTGCTTCTCCCTAGCGGTATGGGAGGGTACTACACGATTACTTTCTGGGCGATAGACCACATATGCATACAAATTGGATATTTCCCCGCGGCACATCTGACAATGTCTCCCGGCACACCAGTGTGCCGCGGCACAGGGTTTGAAAAACACTGGTCTATTGTAAACTAGTCCAGTCCCATCGATGTCGTCAGATCGCATGACTCATCCGTGAAGAGTACACTTCTCCAATGTGCCAGACGCCATCGAATGTGAGCATTTGTCCACTCAAGTCGGTACAACAATGAACCGCAGTCAGGTCGAGACCCGATGAAGATGACGAGCATGCAGACGAGCTTCCCTGAAACGGTTTCTGACAGTTTGTGCAGAAACTATTTGGTTTTGCAAACCGATTGTTGCAGCAGCTATCCGGGTAGCCTGTCTCAGACGATTTTAGTGGTCAACGTGCTGGACTGGCGTGGTTACACGTGGTCTGCAGTTGTGAGGCCGGTTGGATGTACGGCTAAAATTGTCTGAGCCGCCTTTGGAAACGGCTGATGGCAGACAAATTAAAATTCAATTCACAGGCAACAGCTCTGGTGGACATTCCTGCAGTCGGTGTGCCAATTGCACACTCCCGCAAAACATGTAATTGATATATATTTTTTTTCGACTAGGCATTCATTATCTTGGCCAGCTTCATGAGAACAGCCTTCTTAGGGTCGCCCTGGATCAGATCACAGAGGGCCAGATGCAATTTACTCGGCTTGAGCAACACTTTGATACATTGCTCTTGGGCCAGCCTGGAAAACACAGGTAAGACTTAATACGATCTGTATTTTATTTTATTTTATTTTTAGTTTTTTTAAATACCATCTTTCACCCATTCGACTTCATTCCACCCTCACTAGGGAGTATCGTATACACGCAGGGAAGACTGAAATGGCAGCTAATCTGAAGAAGCAGTTCCCAGGAGAGGAAGACGCTATTGATGAGTTCTTTAGAATTATGAAGGTAGAGTAAGAGGAGGAAGTAACCGTGAATTGATTTGCAATTGAATTGTTTGAGGCATCTAACAGTTTTCTTTTTGTTGTTGTTGTTTTTTTTGTTGGAAGATGAAAGTGAAATGATGAGGTTGAAATGATTGAGGAATTAATTGCATTTGAAGCTCTTGGATGTGATGTTGTTGTTATCCATCCATCCATTTTCCGATCCTCTTAGGCGTAGATAAAAAAGTAGTGTGTTTCCGGTAACCCGACCGACCGAGAATTTCTATGTCGAAAAAAAACTTTACGGTCGGCATTTTTTTCAAACAACCCTCTACATTTTTGTGTAGAGGGTTTACATCGGTGCAAACTCTCGCGATATTCACGTTGAGCGCGTGCGTCGTTTGCCCTGTCGTCTGTCAACAACATTGAAACATGGCGGCAGCCGCGATCTCCGACGACGGTTTAAACCGCGTTTTCTGTGTTACAGTTGCATGCTCGCACCGTAATGTTCAGAAAATAGCATCCATTGATGTATTGAAAAAAATCAGCGAATTATTTGATGAACATGGGCCGAGTAAAAACCGAGGGCGGAGGAGGACGGCGGCGGAGGCGGCGACGCGCCCCAGCCCCTCGAGTCCGGAGCGGGGAGAAAACTTTGTGGCGGCGGCGCCGGCCGTGGAGCGGCGGGTTCAATGTCTTCTTGTTTTATGTTTTATGGTTATTTTGTTTACATTTTTGATGGGAAAAAAAAAGATTAAAAAAAAAAAACTTTGTCCGACCTACTGACCCTATGCTGAAATTTCATGTTACCGGAAACACACTATCTTTTTTGTTTGGCCTTATCCTCACAAGAGTTGCGGGGGTTGCTGGAGCCAACCCAGTGGTCTTTGGGCAGTAGGCGGGGGACACCCTGAACCGGTTGCTAGCCAATCGCAGGGCACAGACAGACGAACAACCATCCACACGCACACTCACACCGAGGGACAATTTTGAGTGTTCAATCAGCCTGCCTGCATGTTTTTTGGAATGTGGGAGGAGACCCGAGTACCCAGAGAAAACTCATGCAGGAGAACATGCAAACTCCACACAGGATGGCTGGAGCCGAGATCAAATCCACGACCTCTGTACTTGAGGTCGACGCGCTAACCATTGGATCACTGGGCCGCCCAGAAGTCAAGTAGGGTCTTTGCACGTGCCGTGGCCAGGATTTGAACCACGATTGCTGCGGCCACAATGCAGGGTGCTAAACACTACATGATCACGACCTTGTTATTATGTATGGTATATAACATTTATCATGGTCATTGTGATTCGTATTCAGGTATTGCAATTTTTTACAGCTTTAACCTGAATATCGTACTTCATAAACTTGAATTCAACACCGTCCATCTCCTCTGAAACTTCAAGGCGTAAAACTTTGAGGACGCTGAGAAAAAAAGGCACCTCAACTGTAATTGTCTTCTTAAAATAATTGACTTTGATATTCTTGATTCTGGTTGGCAGGTAAAATTGGTCTATTTCTAAAAATGACACATGTCCTACTTGAGGGACATGGAACAAAAATTAGCCAGATGAATAATGCAGGAGACCTTTTTTCAAAACTGCTATATTGTAAGTTCAAAAAATAATTCAGCTTATGTTTTATTAAAAATTTGACAAATAAGTATAGTAATTTAAACTGGTTGGAATTTGCATATTCTCCTCGTGGCTGTGTGGTTTTTCTCCGGGTACTCCGGTTTTCTCCCACATTCCAAAAACATGCATAGCAGATTAATGGAACACACTAAATTGCCCCGATGTATAATTGTGAGCGCAAATGGTTGTTTGCCTCTGTGTGCCCTGCGATTGGCTGGCAACCAGTTCAGGGTGTACCCCACCTACTGCTTCAGCTGCGATAGGCTCCAGCACACCCGCGACCCTCGTGAGGATAAAGCGGTTCAGAAAATGGATGTATAATTTAAACATTATCATAATATGTGTGTTTGCTCACTTGCAGCTAGCCTCACAGCGGACGCCACTTTTTGCCTCTTTGAAGATTGTTCCATACTGGCTTGTCAACTTCCTGGTGTGGACTGGTCTATTAGATCGCATATCTACAGTGTTCCGCCTAGCAACCACAAACCACTCTGAAGTCATATCCCGTCTCACAAAAAACAAAGATCTTCAGGCTTTATCTGCCTACCTTTTCTATGGTACTGGACAATCACGATGTTTTAAAGACAATATTCTTGATATAGATCAAGCGCATACATTTTCGACTCATTCAACGTTTTTTTTCAATGTTTTTTTTTCTTGAAGGTGTGCCTCCAAAACAGTCTAGCTTTCTCATCAATGCGCTCCTTCTTCACCATTACAAACGTGGTGCATACTATCCAAGAGGAGGCGCAAGTGAGTTTGCCTTTCACATCATTCCTGTCATTCAGCAAACAGGGGGCGCTGTCTTGGTCAGGGCGCCAGTGCAGCGTATCCTGCTCAACCAGCAGGGGAAAGCTCGTGGTAAGGAAACGAAAAAAAAATTTTTCCCCCCGTCAGTTTATGTTTTTTTTTTTTGTTTGCTCTTAGGATTAAACGTTTTCTTTGCCTTTTATATTTTGGCAGCTGTGTTGTTTTGCCAGAGCTGATGTCATGTCTCACCATTCCTAAAAACCATGATTTCCCTAGTTCCCCTGCACAATTTTATAGTCATATGGGCTGCCTAGAATTTTGGGCCTTGAGGAAAAAAAAATAAGGGACACTTAATTGACTAATGAAAAATGGAGTGAAATTATTATTGTGTGTATTTGGATTTGAAAGAGTCACCTATTACAACTTGATAAATCACGATTAAAAAAAAAAAATTCTGACAGACGACTTCGACCATATAATTATCCATCCATCCATTTTCTGATCCGCTTAGTCCTCACAAGGGTGGCCGGGGGTGCTGGAGCCTATCCCAGCCGTCTTCAGACCCCCTGAACCGGTTGCCAGCCAATCGCAGGGCACACAGAGACGAACAACCATCCGCGCTCACACTCACACCTTGGGACAATTTCTAGTGTTCAATCAGCCTGCTGTGCATGTTTTTGGAATGTGGGAGGAAACCGGAGCACCCGGAGAAAACCCACGCAAGCCTGGGGAGAACATGCAAACGCCACACAGGGAGGCCGGAGCTAGAATTGAACCCGGTACCTCTGCATTGTGCGGTCGACGCGCTAACCACTGGACCACCTGGCCGCCCACCATATAATTATCTTGATATTTGATTTTTTTTCCATTTACTCTCCTTTTTAATATTCTGGGTTTTGTTGGGATGTATTTTTTTTTTTTAACAGGAGTGACAGTGCTAAAAGGACAAGAGGAGATCGAGATCCACGCTCCTGTTGTCATTTCTAATGCCGGAATCTTCAACACATTCCAAAAGTTTCTGCCAAATCACATACAACAAAAATCAGGTGATACATCCACTCGCACATCATGACATGAATCTCTGGATTGCAATTTGACAGTGGTTGTTTAACTTTGCTGCAAATCCTGTGTGAGTAGAGATTCAGTCATTGTTGAGTATGGTGCGCCACGGCATGGGTTCCTTCTTGGTTTTTGTTGGTCTGGACGGAACCAAAGAAGAGCTGGGAATCGTTTCCACAAATTTCTGGATGTATAAAGACAGCGACTTGGATACACTGTAAGTTAGTTGTTTTTGTATAGATTTTCACCCTATCTCTTCTTATTTTAATTCCAATTGCAAAAAAAAAATGTACTGGTGTTTCTAATGGTTTAGCACAAAATCCAATACCACCCATCTTTGAGAAGTCATACGCAATAGGTTCCCGCCAGAAAATGGATTCATATTCTAGCATCCACTGCCACGCTTTCCACTGCAGTGGCAGGGATGATATCAAACAGACAAATAATAACTTTAATACATCAAAAAGAGATTTAAGAAGTGCCAGATGTTATTAACTAAACTCTAAAGGGCTGTCCACAAACAACAAACAAATCTTTCGCAAAAGCCGGCATAATTTTTGAGGAGCTGCACAGCAACGAGACTGACTCTGATAATGATGTGAGGGAACTTGGCATGTTTGATGGAAAACTTGCCCTGCTGTTCATTTCGGACACAGAAAATGAGGACTAATGGATTTGTCGATTAGGATTGATCAAAAAATTGTTAAATACAATATATAACACAAACTCAGTTTTGGTCTTGCTGCCTTTTTAAAAAAAAACATATACGCTAGCGTGGATGCATGCTAGCGTATTTTTTAAGCTAGCATGTGCTTTACTGTCACGACCATTTCACGTGATGACAAAAGAGAAAGGGTCTCCCATAAGTGTGAGGGTTGGGGACGAGTAAAATGCAGTGCGCTACCATGGTTTGGATTTTCTAAGACCAACGAGTACTAGCGGGGGGGGATGATGAAAAGCGAGTACTTTTTGTATGCTAAGTCTGGCGCATTTACACTGTTGTGTTGATTAATGTATACTGTCCCAATGGAATAAATAAATATTTTATAACATTTTAAAATACTATCATTGGGAGAGGGTGGGGGGACAAGCAAGTACTACCACACGTGGGGACACACTTGACACAACAGAACAAGGTTGGAGTAAACACTCACGAGTTCCGCTGCCTTATCCATCCATCCATCAATCCATTTTCCGATCCGCTTGATCCTCACAAGGGTCTCGGGAGGTGCTGGAGCCAATCCCAGCCGTCTTCAGGCAGTAGGCGGGGGACACCCTGAACCGGTTGCCAGCCAATCACAGGGCACACAGAGACGAACAACCATCCACGCTCACACTCATACTGAAGGACAATTTAGAGTTTTCAATCAGCCTGCCATGCACCTTTTTGGGGGTGGCGGGGGGGAATGTGGGAGGAATCCAGAGTACCCGGAGAAAACCCACGCAGGCCCGGGGAGAACATGCAAACGCCACACTGGGAGGCCGGAGCTAGAATTGAATGCGGTACCTCTGCACTGTGAGGTCGACGCGCTAACCACTGGACCACCAGGCTGCCTCCGCTGCCTTAGTGCAACCTAAATAAATACTGATGAAATGAATGAACCAAAATTAATCATGTTGAAGTTCCCTAACACACAAATGAACTGGATTCATGATGGCTATGGTGAGGAACTAATTTGGCTGCACTAATCGAGAGGCAGGGGTACCTGGGACACACAAGGGATTGGGGCTGACAAACACAAGACAAGACGTTAGATCCTGCAAGTGGTCATCATGTTGTTGGCGGTCAATGTGCTGCACAAGTAAGGACAAAGCAACATTTATAGGTATAAATACAATAACACAGTTTGCCACAGTCAAGTATTTATAGTTTTAACACTGTAGTATGGGTAAACTTCAACTATTTTGGTCTCAATTTGTATCATTTTGGATTGCATTAATATGTGGGTGTGTTTGAACGATATGTGAAGAATGGAACGATACTCTTCGCTGAGCAGAGAAGAAGTACTGGGAAACATTCCGATGATGTTCATCACCTTTCCATCTGCCAAAGACCCCACATCTAACATCCGGCAACCAGGTAACTCTCAGTGTGGTGTGTAGACATACTGGAATGCAAAACCCAATTCATGAACGGCGTGCACGTTCTCTCACTTACTACAATATTGTGGTGGTTCCTCAAATAAGCGGCAAATGTTCTACCCTGCCAAACTTGTGTTGTTCACATTTGATGGAGTGCATTGTGGGATGCGTGGGGTGTTCTATTTGCACGCACATAAGTAATATAAATGAAGGTGTCATCAAGAATATTGTCAAGGTCTAGCAGGCAATCAGACTCTTAAGACAAACTTTAAATCTCAAAGAGAGACGAGGAGTCAAGCAGAGTTGTCTTTCTCGCGAGGAGAGTGGTGTAAAAAATGTAATAGTTGACAATCTCGGAACAGCTCTGGACCTAGCTGAGATATGCAAAGCATTACAGTCTCGGGATAGTTCTGAGATGTTGTGCTCATCTCCTGCTTTTTATTGTCTTTAGGGAGTTACAAAGGGGTGGGGGAAACATACACACAATGGACTCGTGTGCTTAGAGGGGTCATGCTGGAGGTCGGCGGTTTGTGATTGCTGCTGTGAAAGTTGCTGTTATAATTTTGCAGCTTTATAGAGTCGATAATCCTTCAAAACTCAATAAATGTGATTTGAAAGCATGATTTTTTTCTCCAAACGCTGCAGGTGCAAAAAGGCACAAGAAAATGTGTACCTGATAAATGTGATTTGAAAGCATTATTTTTTTTTCTTCAAACCCTGCAGGTGCAAAAAGGCACAAGAAAATGTGTACCTGTGACTCATGACTTTATCTCCATTTAGGAAAGTCCTGTATGACTTTGTTAACCATGGCTCGCTATGAGTGGTTTGAAGAATGGGAGGGGACAAAGATTGGCAAGAGAGGACAGGATTACCTGGATCTGAAAAACAGCATGTCTCAGGAGATGCTGAACTGGGCCATAACCATCTTCCCCCAATTACAAGACAAAGTGTGTGCTTATCTTTGTACTGTATATTTATGTGTCTATCTCACATTAATCACTTAATTTTAATATGCATTCACTATTTGCTTGCTTGTATGCACTAAATGCATCTTTTATAGTAAGTGTATTCATATTCTCTTCAGATGTTTTATTTGTTGCTTTTCCTTTCAAACCGACCAGTTTGAATAATATTATATGTCTTTGCCCACATTTGTGTGTGCGTATTTTTGTCTGCAGGTGGTTATGATTGATGCAGCCACCCCTCTGACTAATGTACATTATTTGGGTGCACCGAGAGGTGAGATGTATGGTGCTGAACACAATTTGGAGCGCTTCACCCCAGAAACGGTTGCAAGGACCAGACCACAAACTCCAATCAGTGGTTTGTACTTAACAGGTGCGCGAAGCAAAAAAACAGCAAAAAAAAAAAATGGTCTGTTTCATACAGGTCTGTAATTGTAATGTACAGTATCTACTAACTCTTTGTGTGTGTGTGTGCCTTTGCAGGTCAGGATGTGTTCTGTAATGGCATGGCTGGAGCTTTACATGGTGGATTACTCTGTGCCTCTGCTGTGCTAAATCAGATCCTCTATATTGACCTTCTCGCTCTTAAGAACCACCTCAAAAAAAGAAAGGCAAATCATAAGCTCACCTGAAAGTAACAATTTGATTTACTCACTACCATATTTCCCAGATGTCTCCATCCATGAATGAAGATACAGCATATATATTTGTCTCGTTGTATTCCACAGCATCCGAATTGAAATAAAACCATCACGATGGAATGGAGATGTTAGAGCTTTAGTTGAAGTGGTTGGATATATGTTTACAATGTCCTGGTTTTGTGTGGTCGAGGACCCATGCGCGCGCGCGCACACACACACACACACACACACACACACACACACACACACACACACACACACACACAAGACCAAGACGATGCCTAACAATGGATCAACAGTACCTTGCCATTGTGATGCTTTTAAGATAAGATAAGATAAGAAAACCTTTATTAGTCTCACAATGGAGAAATTCCCAATTCACAGCAGCAAAGTTATGAAAGGAAGAAGTAGAACAACAAAATATAGGAGCTGCTGGAAAGGCAGCCACTCTCGCGGGCGCCATCTTGAAGTCAAAATAACAAAAATAACACAACACATAGGACACAGACAGTCGTGCAATCTTCACCACTTTCCTGCATACACTTTGTTGTCTGAAGCAGTTATAGATGAAATTTAAAGAGGACATTCTCAGACAGAAGTCTGAGTCCCCAGTCCGGGGAGCCTTTACGCTGGACGTTGGACCAGTGGGACTCAGCGCTGTCATCTGATGAAAGTCGATTCATGTTGAGTAGAAATGATGATTGGCTAACGATGTTGGAAACGTCAAGCAGAGCGCTACGCATCAGCCACTGTTGTCACCAGGACGAGCTTTTGGTGGTGGTGGTGTTACAATGTGGGCAGAATTTTGAAGAAAGGAAGATTCCTTGAATCCATGAAAAAGCAACGTTCAATATAACTTAAAAGGATGAGAAAATAAATGATGAAAAAGGAAATTAAGAAGATTCTAAAAAATAGCAATTTTCAAAAAATGAAAACAAATATTGGCTATTTTTTGTGCGTGTTGGCCTCTCACGCACAGTGTGGTGCCGTGCATGCATGGAGTACAGTACTGTACATACAAAATGACAACAGGAGAAAATTGCGATTGAACTCTAGAATTGTAACTCCTTTTTAATAGATTGGGATGAGCCTTTGAGTAGTGTTATGTTACCCTTGTGTATGTGTTTGTGTGTGAATAGTCGTTGTTTGAAGGAAGATAACGACCAAAGTCAATTTTCAGTTAGCACGTTGATGGGATCCTCCATTGACTTTTAGGATTAGCACTAGCCCCGTTTTTTAAAAAAAATGAAGGATGTTTTGGACCAAAATATACAATATATGTAATTACTCTTGTGTGTTTAGTTTTACAGTAAACAACAACTGGGTTGTCAAACAGCTGAAAAGTCGTGATGGGACGAAATAGGCCGAGGCTCCGAAGCTTGTGTCGAGTAATGGGAGGGGCGTTTCCACGAAGCTTGTGTCGAGGCGCTCGTCTTTCGGCAAAACCCGGAAATGACGTCGTGTGAAGCCTCGTCTGCCGGCTAAATCACGTGATCGCTTTGGGAGTGGTCCGATGTTGGCGCGCATTGCAAACACAGTACAGAGTAGACTACGGTATAAATAGGTTGCTAAACGCAATGGCGATCGCCTGTTATCTCAGATTTTGTGGATTTCGGGCTCCTGTACTTGTTACACCTGTGCGCAACAGTGCAACAGTGCAATCTTTTTTCGGGCCTTGTCCGTTGCTTGCGATGGAACCTGCGCGAAAAAGGCGATCCTCCCCTGCATGGGAACATTTTGATTTGATTGCTTCCAATAAGGTAAGGGAGAAAAACTACATGAATATAAATATGACAATGCAGCTTTTCGCTTGTTCTTGTGTCTAACGTTTGTTATCTAACAGGCGAAGTGTCTGTTGTGTGCAAGGGAACTTGTATACAACAATAACACTTCGTCTCTGTTGAGGCATTATAGAGCCTTGCATGAGAGCGAGGAGAGCCATGAAACTGGGCCAAGCTTCGGTAAGCAAAATTACACAGTGTATTGACAATGTTAAGATACACTTTAAATACTGCATTACTAACATAACCTATAATTGATTTCTGGTTGCAAGAGAGCAAAGATGTAGATGAAGCCTTGATCAAGATGGTCATTGAGGACTGTCAGCCCTTCACTATTGTGGCGGACGAAGGGTTCAGAAAGTTTTTTACAGCTTTGAACCCTACCTATGTTCTTCCCACAAGGAAGGTATGTATGTGAACACATGAAGTATTTCTTCTCATTTCCCCATAGTGGCAATTCCAATATTTTTATATTGTTCCCTTTTAGGCTTTAAAAGCTATGGTGGACAACAGGTTTAAGCTGGCCAAAGAAAAAGCCAAAGAAGTGGTGTCAAAGGCTTCTGCAGTTAGCCTGAAAGCAGATATGTGTCCAAAAAAAGAAACCGTTTAAAGCCAGCCACTGTGGGAAAGCTATTATTTCTAAATAAAAATGAATAGCAAATTATCCTTAACACTTGTTGTATTTTGTTCACATACTAAATTACTAACGCAAGCACATTCATATCTTTGTCTTAAGCCAGGGGTCGGCAACCCAAAATGTTGAAAGAGCCATATAGGACCAAAAAAAAAAAACAAACAAAAAACAAATATGTCTGGAGCCGCAAAAAAATAAAAGCCTTCTATAAAACTTACAATGAAGGAAACGCATGCTGTATGTATGTAGGAGACTGGACTGTCTCAGAATTGTTTATGTTATTCATTCCTTTGTTGTGTGTTCACAAACGCCCCCATAGAATTTATTTTGTGATTTCCTCGCTTGATTTTTTGTTTTGACGCATTATTTTCGCTTTTTGTAGTAGTCATTAATTTCCGTTTTTCGGAGGCTGTCTTTGAACGCCTCTCGAGTCGAATGAGAAGAGAGAAGGCACGGAGTCGGACGGACGCAGACACGTCTGTGTTTGTCGAGACTGTTGAAAGCATAAATAAAGTGTACGTTTTAAAAAACCAACACCACAGCTCTCCTTTTCAGAGCTGCAACATGTATCTATAGCTATTTGAGCTATATTAGCCTACTATCAAAATCTTTTTCCATTTTCAAACATTTTTTAGAAAGCGCCAGGGAGCCACTAGATGTCGCTAAAGAGCCGCATGCGGCTCTGGAGCCGCGTGTTGCCAACCCCCGTCTTAAGCAAATAGCCATTGAATTCTTAACACTGTTAACCTCTTGGGCTTCTAGACTACTTGATGGCGCCATAGAGCAAATGAAGCACCATGAGAGTTTGCTACATGTGCAAACCAATTGGCTGCAAAGCTTCATTGCTTCATGAGGCTTTATTTGGCCATCCCTACTTAGAAGACGCTTTGGGAGGGCAGAATCACATACTCTACGCTTGTTACCGAAGCAACGCGGTGCTTTCAGGATAACTTCACAATGTCGGAAACTTTTAAATGCACCGCACCATTTGCACATTAATATTTTTCTTCGTTTAAAGATGGAGAGAAGCCCAAATCAAAATCATGATTACTGGTACATTTTGATTAATCGTCTCGGCCCAGCTCAACGGCCACAAGGGGGCGGCCAATAACAATATTGATACCTTGAAATAAGGCCAGGTATTGGCCCGACACAGACACCTGGTATCGGTACTCGCCCATCACTAGTACAAACACAAACGTCCCCTTTGAATCATACAACCCAATAAAATGCACCCGGTGACACTACATTTATTGTATATTTATTTAATCATGGTTTAATTAAGTACATTATTTTTCAATTAAATAGCATACATTTATCAACTAAACACCAGTTTCATCCTCATCCAATATTTTATGTCTCTACTGTGCTGCTTCTGGGCATTTCAATCGTTTCTTTCTCCGCCGCTTCCAATTTCAGTGCAACCCAGGACTCTCTGTGCAGTCGCTCATTTAATTCCACCATCTGAACAGTGGGTGGTGACGTCTTCTGCATATGCACTGGTAGGTACATGAACTCATCTTCGTTCACATCATAGTTTGTCATCTTTGAGTCCAGGATCCACCAGTGACCGGCAAAGCCGACATCCATTACACGTCTAGGGAACTCTCTCCAAATTACTGACAAACTGGAACACCGAGCTTCAAACAGTGTGCTGTCAGGGTTATGGTCAGTAAAATAAATCAAAGAAAGTAATCCCAGGTTGACATGGCGGAGACGGCCTTCATTGCGAAGCTTAAGCAGATTCTGCACATGGCTATCAGAGGATGCATTGCGGATCCATGATGACAGCAGAGCCAGCTGATTGGAGCGCTCAAGGAGAGAGACTTCAAAAGATGAGTAATCGGGCTTTGAGAAGAAACAGGTTAATGCGCCTCCGAGCACGGTAATGCAAACTGATGCTTTGACAGGACGCTCATAGACGCCAACAACCATATCAACACACGCCTCTTTGTAGTCAGACATCAGACTGCGGCACCAGATACCTAAACAGAATAAAAGATGCAACATTACATTAGCTCTGGATTTTGTCTCAATCCAAATAAGCATTTTTTACACTCCTATATGTCTTTAACAAAATAAACCACAATGAGTTCAACAATATTTTTTTTTAGGGGGGGGGCTCACTCAAAACAAATTAAATCTTTATAAAGTAGCTAGTGGAGGAGCTGTACCCCATGTGTGTTTGTGAGGGCAGGAACAATGAGTTCAACACTGTTTTTTTTAGGGGGGGGCGCACTCAAAACAAATTAAATCTTTATGAAGTAGCTAGTAGAGGAGCTGTACCCCATGTGTGTTTGTGAGGGCAGGGAGGGGTGGGTGAATCTTTCAGTTACTTGCGCGTTAGGTTAGTACACGTATGAATGTATTTACAAAGATGTTTGAAAGTAGGCTGACTGTTAAAAGCATTGTATTTTTTTTCCCATGATACTACAGGCTCTTGACGTGCCCAAAATGCCGAACGGAAATTGTTCACTGCAGACATATTAATAAAAAATTACTAATAAACAATGTTTACCTAGTTCATTTTCAAACTTATTTATATAATGTCGGCAAAATGCTAAAAGCATAGCGTTTTTTTTTTTGCACTTGTGCATGGACACAAGTCAATACACCATGACATTATGGGGAAAGAAAAGATATGGTTTTTAGCATTTAGCCTACATTTTATCAATACGTTCAAATACGAGTTTTCCAATCAAAAATGTTTACTCTACATTGGCAGTTCCACGCCTCCGCACATATGCTTGTGGAGAGTACAGTATCATACTTTTATTGGAAAAAAAAAAAGAGAACCTCTCAAAGTCATGAAAGTATGGTATCATACTTTTATTGGAAAAAAAAAGAGAACCTCTCAAAGTCATGAAAGTATATATATATTTTTTTTACATCAAGCGCCCCGAGCCTGTCAGGTAGACCAAAATGTAAGGGCAGAGATTTTTTCGAAAGTCACACTAATGTTTCCAGAGAGGAAAATTGTGTGCTGCTATGCACTGTTTAAATTTACGTACTAAAAATGAACACCAGTCGGCCATTCATTAAGAGGAAATGTGATTTTCTGTTTTCAGTATCTTTAACTAACGCAAAAAAAAACTATTTTTATGTGTATGCGAAGACCCAAATATTCTATCTACCTATCTATCTATCTATCTATCCATCTATCTATAAAGATGAAATGAAAAAAATCATTGAAAGTAGTCATACTATATTATGAATTATATACTGGACCCATACCGGTTCGAACGGGGCTACCACAATTTGGCTCATGTCCCTGTCAAAAAAAGCTTAGCACCCGCACCCTGCAAATTGTGTCAAAAACAAAGAATGCAACTTTGTTAATTTATCTATGCCAGCAACATATAGCGAGAATATCAGACAGAAGGGATGAATTAACTTTATATGACTTTTGTATTTGAAGGAATTCTGTGAACTTGTTTTGAATGAAGATAAGATAAATATAAATTATGTGTGCTATTTCAAATAGAGGTTGGAAAACACTGCTTTAAAATGTATACAATTATACATGTTAAACTTAATTTAACAGCAGCAACCCCCTACATGTACAGTTTCCATTAGCTTTCTTAATGCAAGAAATTTTAAAGTGATTAGTAGGTGAGTACATCGCACTATTAATATACATTAATTACATTTCAAAAATTACACTTTGACTCTTAGGTACTGTTATGCATCTGTCATGAAAATGACAACACCTAAACCGCTTTATGACACGAGTGGAGACTCCTGACGTCCGACCGAATGCACGTTAAAACAAAAGTCATGTGCTTGTTCATATGCCCAGTTTCTCACCTGCTTTACTATTTTTCAGTTTTTCCCAGCGACTTTTTGAGTGATGAGAGATTGAGGTTTCTCCTACAGCACAAAACATCCTCCTGGTTACCAATCGGAACGCCATATCTAGTGTAAATCTTTTTTTCAATCAGACTCGTTGCAGTGCAGTTAAAACTAGCATACGGGTGGCTTGCAAATCGACACTGCGCATGTGTAAACCGGCAGCCATTTTCCGTACGTTAGAGTGGCAGTAGATCCAGGGACGATGGCGAGATCTCATTTCTTTTGGAACAATCTAGTAGTTAGTTACTGAAATTAAGTCAAGGTTATGTCTCTAAAACGTTTGGCCCTGGCGGTTATAGCCAGTGATTAGCCATTTTAGATTGCCATTGTTACGAACGACTCATAAATTTTTTAAATCCATTCGCTTATTTTTACTGAAAAAAAACTTATCAGTTTGTGTTTTACGCCAGGATCCCGTTCTGGAGGAATAAGCGGCTCTCAAACAACCTACTTAATTATTAGCATCGACCATTCAGACTATAATATCTCAGTTTACATTTCGTAGTGAATGGTGACCTGATTTCGTTGTTAAAAGTGGATGGTTCATACAGCATAATGCAAACGAACTTTAGGCGTGTGGCAACGTAAGATGTGCGCTGGTGGCTTCACTTCTCCCTGCCGCATTGTGTTGTGAGGTGCGCATGCGTATAAACTACGGCAAGCCATTTGGTCAAAAGTCGTAGGTAATGCCTGCGCGATTTGCGCATCCGTAAAGATATACAATATACAGCATATACTGCACAAATAATTGATACAAAGTGCCCATACATATAATATATGTTTAGTTATTTTGATAAAGGTATATATATTTCAAAGTCTGAAAATTGAAAACAGAGAAACGTTGACTTGCCATTAAATACCAGCAACCCTCTGATCCCTGAATTATGAAAGCCCGAATCAAGACTGTTTATCATGTCATTTTATTCTTTTGGGCAAAATAAAAACATCATGTATGTGTGTTTGTATTTAAATTAACCCAACGCAAACTAATGTCAGCATTAACTAATATTATTTTTCTGGTAAACCCACTTTTTCCGAGGCAGAAACGAGAATCCGAAGATGTCCCAAGTCTCTCCAACACGTCCTAGGTCACCCATGCGGCCTCCTCCTAACTCAATGACATTTCATGCTCATTTGCTGCCATTTTCTGCCCATACAGAATAGAGAAGACAGAGACAAATTTGACTGAGGTCGTTGATGTATTGATTAAAAAACAAAAATCCCCCTGAGGAGGGGTCTGGACTCTACTAAATGACATTCTAGTTTATAATTTATTTGCATTTACTTTAGACTGGAGTTTGAAATTCGCAAAACTTTGTACTCTTTCTGAAACACCTCCAATTATGTCAAAACTGTATAATTGGCTTTTTGATACATTCCTAAAATAATCGAAGGCAGTCCTATCACAAGAATAGTACATACAATGTGCATTGAATTTCATTTGTTATGCAATGAACAATGTAGAAAATATTGTTGCTTGCAAGGTAAAACATCTAATTCAGTCAAGTAAATCAGTTCATAATCATAAGATATTTATCATCTTTGTTCCATCAATATACGGTATATTACCACAGTATAAAAGTAAGCAGATTCTGGTTTGTCTCAAGGTTATATGATATTACATTTAATCGTCAAAGCTGTTAAAGGAGCATCTTCAAAATATATATATATATATATATATATATATA